TAAGTCTTTCCAACAGTGTAAGATTTATTGCCAAGAAGCATTGTTACAACACAGACATAATCTACCAAACACAAATGTATTTACTTTTTCTGCTAAGTWTATAATTAACTAATTGGCAGAACATCACTTCAATAAAGACCAGACTATCCCTTTAGAACATGTTTACAATATGTTTGCACTGAGAGTTTATTTGCACATTTAGCTCAATCCTTCATAAACGGCTAGATGTATTTTATAAACTTTRAGAAAATAATCACTACATGTACAGCTGATTGGTAAATGGTAAATGCCTTGAACTTATTTAGCGCCTTTTCAAGTCCACTTGGACCCCAAGGCGCTTTACACTTCAGACATTCACCCATGCACACACACATTCACAAACTTGATTACTTCATGGAATTAATAATTTAAGATGGCTGTCCATAATTGCCCATGGCAAATGCAAACATTGGTATAATCTAGTTTTTTTTTTTTTTTCTTTTTCAGATTTGAGCTAATACTGTATTTGGAGTGGTAGCTGAGAGTCATCTCCAACACTCTGAAAGCTGACTGATGGTGCAAGATTTTTGTTTAAGTTTTTGACAGTCYGGCGATGCATTCTTTCAAAGAATGCCAGTTTCTTCTGTTTAAGGCTAACTAGCTACCAGGCAATGATGATTAAAGTGTTTTTTTTAAGTAAGTTACTGAACTCTGACCAAGAAATTAGCCATTTCAAGCCTTTTAGGAGCAAGAAAATAACAAAATGCTGACACAATTACAGATTTGCGGGGTTACGTTGAGTATCTCAGGGGATAAATAATGTTTGCTCCATGTTGTGTCAGACATTCATGCTGTTGTTCAGCCGCACACACTTSCTAAATGTAGCATTAATCTGTCTCTATAAAGAAACCCTCAATACAAACACTGAATCTTTTCAATGAAAAGCTTTAATAATGACTTGGATTCGTGTCTGATGTGTTTGTTTGTGCAGGTACACGTTTGAAGGGGACATCTAATGAAACTCAGATTAATTATAAATCCATTCAAATTGATTTGTGTCCGCTTTCTGCGTTCCTTTTCATTTTGTTGCTTCAGACGAGCGAACGCATTGTGAAGACATAAATCCATAAACGATCGCATCAAACGAACTTCCTTGAATAATTCAAAGTCCTTCAGCTCCTTTTATGACTTTATCTTCCTCTCACAGACAGTCCTGCGTGTTTTCTTTGCAACATCGTCATTCCCTCTCCTGTACTTTTGACCCCGTTTCCATCTGCATTTTCTAATCCTCCACTCTCCTAACGTCAGCCACCAGGTCGAGTCACGACGCCGCGTTAGCGACGATTCCTGGAGGGCAGTCAGGCGMACAAACCCATCCAGGGCCTGCTGCGTGACTCAACGAGATCCAGTCACCCAGATGAGAGGAGGAAGAGGCGGGATCATTAGGAGGATGGGGCAAAGGGTTTCCAGGCTGACAAGAAAGGACAAACTGGAAAAAATCTAAGCTGATGAAACAAAGCACAGAGAGGAGGCAGGGCTGCAGGAGAGATTAAGAATAGGAGAAGCTGGGCAAGACATTTAAGTCTAYGGGAGATAGAGACGGCGGGGGTAAACACGGGGCAACCTGTGCAATCCTGCATGCACACAAGACGAGCAGAAAGGCACGCAGGCAGCTGCACGACTCCTCCTCCTCCACCACTTCATATCTTCTGTATCTCTCCACAGCAGCGCCTATCAGCGCCCGAAGGCAAAGGCTCACCCGACAGGCTGAGCAGGGAGCAGGGCAACAAGAGGCTGATTTACTGAGAAACTGAGATCAACAGAGGGCAAATGTAAYGCTTAAAAATGAGATAAAAGACATTCAGAGTCAATCACTGCACACTAAATGTTGAATAAAAGAAGAGCCTCTAAACTGGTGTAAGGATTCCTGAATAACTGAAGAAGTGTCATTTATTTTTTTCTYCTTTTGTTCAGACTTTAGGAGATTACTGCAGCTTTAACTCAACCAAAAAACAAAACAAAAACCAAAGTACTCGAGCCCCAGCAGCAATGCAAGTAGAAACATGACTATTTCTGGGCTACAAATAGGTTCTAATAACTTATTTTTTATATACTTTATATATTAAGTTTCTAATTAGGCATGTAGCATTAGCCAGCTTCTGATCGCACAAATAATTTGCTCAATAAAGTTACTCACAGTTGTTTTGATGTTAAATTTAAGAATTAAATCCTATTTTCCCAAACGAATGTCATTCAAAAAGCCATCTATAACAGGTAAGATAGTCATTGTTCATTTAACTTTTTGCTTCTTGTCCTTTTTATATATATAAAAAAAACTGGGACTCGTTTACAGGTTCTTCAGAATCTTTCATAATCTTCTCGCCTGTATTCTTTAATTTACCAAAGAAACTCTTTCATTAAAAAAAATCCTAAACAAACAGACAAACTCCAGCCTTGGAAACAAGTATGAGTCATCAGCCTGAGCAACAATGACCCAGACGGAGGGAGTATAAAAACAGTTGATGACAGGATTTAGTCCTCAGATAAGGTTAAAGATACGACAGGTGGGAGATGAGTGGGATAACACGTTGATTTCCTTTCTGTGGCCCCTGTGAACTTCCTCCGTCAGCCATGTTGGCCTCAGTTACACTGATTCACTCAAAGCCTATAACACAGGATTCCAGTGTTTAGTCAGGCCCTGTAATGGACTTGGGACTGGTCCAGGGAKTACCCTGCCTCTCACACAGTGACTACTCGACGTGTAGTCACAAATATTACCTTATTTGTGATGCATCACATCAAACTGAGGATTCAGTCCCAAAGTGGTTTGTGGAGAAATAAGCAGCATTGGTTAAGATGTTGGCAATAATTGCATTTTGACTAAATATAATGATTAAATATTTGAACGAATTGTCTGAAAGAATTTTTGAAGCACTTTTTTTGAAC